GACATTAAGTATAACTAAAATAACAATCATGAGAAAATATAAAAACCTTAAAATTATAAAAAAAAATGTACGGACCGTGCAAGAGCAAGATATTTTTATTATTATATATTTAGTTTTAGAAAAACTAAAGGAATCATTCTTGCGAGATATTTTTTCGAGGAATTATTTTTTTCCTAATTGTATTTATAAAATATTTATGTAATAAATGTACACAATTACAATTTATTAATTTATTATAAAGTTATACATATAAAGTTATATTTATTAATTTACTATAAAGTTATACAGCATATATAAAAATATAAAATAAAATATTATGCAGTAAAAAACAGATAGTTACTCTCTAAAAGAGAATCAGTGTATTTTTACTGAGAAACAGTAAATAGTCACTGATTGAAGCAGTTATAAGTATACCACTTAGAATCAGTGACATTTCACTGAAAGAATTAGTTATTAATATCTGTTTCAATCAGTAATATTGGACTACTAGAAACAGTGACTTAAAACAGCAAAATCAGTAATGTGAGCTGATTAAATCAGTAATATTGACTATTTTAATCAGTAATATTATACTACTAAAACAGTGACTTTGAGCAGCAAAATCAGTAATGTGAACTGATTAAATCAGTAATATTGACTGTTTTACTTAGTAATATTGGACTACTGGAAACAGTGACTTTGAACAGCAAAATCAGTAATGCAAGCTGATTAAATCAGTAAATGTCCCAGCAAACAGTAACAAAAAGTAATAACCTTAATATATGTTATAATTTTTTATTCAACAATGTAATTGTTACGTACAAAATGTTTACAGAATGAAGTCAATTAAAAATTAAACATTCCTCAGCTTACGAGCTTGTGCCTCTATGTTTGTTCCTTCCTAAAAAAAGATTTTTCTGTGTGTTAGCAAGTATTAATATATATAATATATAACTTTTAAATGCACTAACCAAACTTACAGGCCATATCTGTATTAACGAAGAATTTGGAAAAATAGGAGGATCATCATGTTGTCCCTTATCAATGTTCTTCTGAAATTAAATATTCAAATATTTGAATCGTGTTTTAACAATCAATTTATACTAAGAAATCATAAGAATAAGAAATAAAAGACTTACTCCTTTTGATAAGTTTCCAACGATAACCGAGATTAATAATCTTATTCTGTTTGCTGTTCAGTTCTCTCGTTCAATACGCCGTGGTTTATGCTGAAAATGAAAAGGGAGAAACAGTCTCTAGTTTATCGCGCTTTACTATGGGCCCGTTGGGCCTCCATCTTTGCCCCGTTGGCAAACTATAACCTTGCCCCGTTGGGCCACCGTACTCGTCAGTACCCGCGGTAAATGAACTACAGCTCAAGAAGCTTTCGTATACTTACTTTTAACCTCACCTTTTTCGCAAGTACGCTTAGCTCAGTACCGCAGTTTCTCTCATTCTTTGTAATGTACACTTAGCACCGCTTCGTCCTTCGTCACGTATACTTCGTTCTCGTCTTCTGTTTCACACATCACTGAGATCACAATCCTGTTCCGCTTCCTCGCACCATCAATCAGTATTACCAACAGATAACTGATTTTACAGTAACATCTTACTTTCACTGACCATAATCAGTGAAATATAAGATAAAGAAACAAAAAGTAAACATTCTACTGAAGTTCAGTGAAATACTCACTGATTCTCAGTGAAATCTTATTTTACTGATTCAATTAGTGATATTTTCACTGATTCTACTTTAGAGAGTATATATAAAGGTTTTTGGGATAAATAATTATCTGGTTGACACGACCACGGCCACGGCCACGGCCATGACCGCGACCACGACCACGACCGCGACCACGATCGCGTCCGCGACCGCGACCACCATAAATATATTGTCCTCGTCCTAACTCCTCTCGAATTTGATTTTTTATGTTGTGCATTTGCCTACGCAACTCCAATATCCGCGCATTTTGCAGTTGCAGCTGCTGTTGTTGCTGCTGTTGTTGCTGCTGTTGTTACTCCTGTTGTTGTCCCTGTTGTTGTCCCTGTTGCTGCTGTGGCTGTTGTTGTCCCTGTTGCTGCTGTGGCTGTTGAGGATTCTCATTCTCTGCAATTGTCACAGCAAGCAAATGATCTTTTCTGCGCTGTTTACACTTCGCGCGAGAGCGCTGCAATGCCGCTTTTTCCGTAATGTTATGCCGTAATGTTATGTCGTCTCCGTAATGTTATGCCTATATTGGACATGAATTATAACGTATTTTAAGTCTCAAAAATAACGTCTAAAAATGCGATTAAAGAAGTAATAAACGTAAACTGATTAAGTAGAGCGTACACGAAATTTCTATAATACGTAATTTATTTTAGGATTTTGCATAGATATAAAAAGTGCGACCAAAAGACATTTCTTCGTATTTTGAATTTTGTAATAAATAATATACTAAATTAAAACTTATTGTTAAAATGTATAAATGAAAAATATAGAATATCAGTATTTTATTCTTTCAGCCGTTTTGGAAATAAATAGTCCAAAGTTTGCAAATTTATGCCATATATATTACATTATTTTCATCGATTAGTTAAACTCTCGTAAAAAAAGGTAAATAAATATGAGATCAATATACAACCCAATAGAAACATAACATTAAGAATCCGAAGCAACATGTTATACACAACAAAGATGATTATTTATAATAATCGGTCATCAAAAAAGTCGAAGATATAATACTGAAACGATGCAAATATACAATTATTAATATAACATATATACCTTTATTCATCATGGAATTATCATTGGCCTTGGCCATGATAAAGACAATTAGCTTTATCCAAACTTCGAACGAACACCTTCGACACTCGCTCCCTGCACGGTATGATGCGGTCAGTGATTCAATCAATGGCGATTTTGATATCAAGGCACAAAAGGCCGCTCTTGCTTGCAACAGCGAATTATGCGTACCATCGAAAGATCGAGACAGCCTCCCCACTCTCGTACTTCGAGATGTGCTTTGTCTCACTCCCACTAACTTCTCCCTTGTAATGGTAGATGGTGTTCTAACTCTTACTAGAGGAACACTACGCCGACCTGCGCGGCAAGAAGCGACGCAGTAGTCAATCAACGTGTCGCTTTTCCGTAAGTACCAAAAGTTTATTGGCTACCGCGTCGCTTCTTGTAACGAACTTCAGAGAGCGGTGTGCGCGCTCCATCAATTAATATGGTTGCGTTCAGCGGAAAAAGCAGTTCAGTGAGCGCTCAGTGATTCTTTAATACGATTGGTTCTTGCCTTTGGTTCTTTCTCGGATCTAAGCGTAAAAACCAATCGTAATAAAGAATTACCGAACGCTCACTGAGCTGCTATTTCCACTGAACGCGGTCATTTAACTAATTTACCCTATGCAACTAGCACTAAATTCGAATCGTGATATTTTCTTAAAGTACAATGTATCATGATTATTTTGGCACCATAATCACGCGAGCACCAAATTCTTTTACGATTCTGTAACAAACTTTAGAGCGCGGCGTGCACGCTTCGCGGATAAACTAATTAATTTCAACGCCATGCATCGTCAAAGAATCACGGGCTTGCGTGTTTTTGGTCCCAAAATAATCCTGAGATATTGTATGTTGAGTATTGCGACGAAAATTAGGACCGCTAGGGCGAGATATATCGATTTGCGTCGAGAACGATAGATCGCGACGTTTATGACTC